GAGAGCCAGTGTCCCACCCCCCATCATGTGCTCCTTCTACCAGGGCACCATTGAGAACGTCATCATTGGCTGCATCACTGTGTGGTACAGAGCCTGTACTGCCTCGTGCAGAAGGACCCTTCAAAGCATAGTGAAAACAGCCAGCAAGATCTCTGCCTTCCCTTACAGACATCTTCAACACCCGCCTCACCCGCAGAGCCATCAGCATTGCTGATGACACCTCCCACCCCGCACACTCCCACTTCAGACTCCTGCCTTCAGGGAGAAGGTATCAGCGTCTCCAGGCCCACTCCACCAGACTTATCTAACTATTTAAATTATAAAAATACTATATCACAAAAGTTAGAGATATTAAAAAAAACATTTTAATGTTGCCCATAAAAGTGTGCTGATGTTCTTGTTTTAATTTAAAAAAAAGAAACACAAAAAAAAAAACTGCTGCATGTTTTATAAGTGACATCACTGCAGTCCTGTGCACATAGACACAAATACAAACACACAAACTACACTGTGCACCTTGAAACACAATACGGTGCCTGAGAGGCTAATATTGTGTGTCTAATGGAGTGCATGAATCTCATCTTGTTAAACAGAGTGCTGATTGCTAAGGAACTGGACTTTGGGGGACAAACACACACACACTTACCAACACATACTGAAAGAGGTGGGTGAAGGGTACTCACGTTTGAGGAAGCGGTTACGGACCCATTTATTCTGTTTGCGTGCATAATGCTTTGTAGCAGTCTTCACAGCTTCTATACCTGGACAGAGTTAAAAAGAGAATGTTACAGATGAAAAGAGGACATGAGAAAAAGCTTTAAACAGATTCTTCTGGTTGGTTGGTCAGTCAACCAACCGTCCATCCAGTGAAGCTAAATCTACCTCTGTAACGTAGATCAGGAATTTCTCTGACCTTTTTCTCGTAATGTGTCTTTCTCCTGCTGGGTGCTGCTTTCTGGAGCCGTGAGGTAGTCATGAAACTCCTTAAAACCAATTGACTGGAAAATCCCTTCTTGATAGCGCTGGCTGGAGTGGAGAGGAGGAGGGAGGAGAGAAGAGGAAATGAAGCATTATCCATCGTCTCCAGCTCGACATTTCTACACACCCAGTGGTGACTCATTTCACCTTCCCCTCCCCCCTATCTCTCCTTCCCACCCTGAACAAAGAATATCAGTCTCAGCAGATGTGAGGCCCTTCAGGGGACAAAGTGGCAGAATGGCATTAAAAAACACTGAATGGTACTGGGGCCCACAGGTGCCAGTACTCAGTGGCCTCACTGGAGTGACATTAGGTTGGGGCAGAGGGACGTTGGTTGCCTTGGCAGACAGTAGAGACAGAAGACTTTCATCTTTATCAGACCACAGCACCCCAATCTGAGCAGCATTGCCTGCTCATGCTGTACCTTTCAGACTTTAGTAATAGCTCCACAGTTGGTGTACGTGTTAATTTCAATGACCTGAACCTTTGCACAATTGGAGTCAGTGGAAAAATAGTAGAGGTCTGCAGTGATACCATTTTTCCTTCTACCAGTGTGAGAAATGTTTCTCTGCAAGGACAGCTGAGTTAAGGAGTGAAAAATAAATTCTGCATCTGTTTGATAGGCATGAAAGTTTGATAGCGTATGAGTAATGGACACAAATACTAGAGATGGAATATATCTCTTTTTGATTTTACACTGGGCCTTCTTCAGCTGTCTATATACTTTATTAAGGCCCAGCTAATTGGAAAGTTGGTCTGATGTGGTTGTAATAAAACGTGACAGCAGTGTGACTGCATAATTTGAGGGGGCGAGGGGTGCCAGAAGAAAGTCAAAGTGCCTTTAAGTGTACATGACAGACCTTTATTTTAACTTGTCAGCCTCCAGTGGACTGGAGGTGGTTGGCTTCAATGTAAGATCATGAGGTAAAAACAATGCCTGAAAACATCTATCAAGCTTTATCCTGCACTGTAGAACAAATCCTGATGAAAAACTATCGATGATGAACCCTGCAGAGTGTCTGACTACCAAATTTGAAACTATGGGTTTTGAGCACGCGGCCTAATTGTTTACATTTTGGCACATCCACATCATGAAAAGTCTGCTTCTTTGGCAAAGAGCAGTTCCTTCCACCTGGATCATTTTGATGCTGATGAACGTGTCAGAATCTGGTGATTATGGAGATACAGTATAAGGAGCAACTTATTTATGGATACTGATCCTCAGTGGACATCAGAAATCATCAGCAGAAATGAGTTATGATGATGTTATACTATGAAAATTTGTAGTATAACATCGGTTAATAGGTCAGAGGGGCAGACATTTATGGCAAAAATTCTATGTCTGTTCAGGGTTCATTATTTAATACATTTAATGCATTAACATACATTTCTAGCCCAAATAATGCAAGTAGTACAGTTGTACAGAAATGTTTGTATAGCAATGTTTTCATTCCTTTGGACAATACTGCTGAATTCAGCACTGCACAATGGCCTGTACAGTTCATGTTCATTCTTAGCTGATTTTTAATTCTGTAATTGGCAGGTGTAAAAATAAAAAATAATTATTTTGAGAAAAAGACATGGAAGAGGCATAATTTTTGTACATGACCTGTATTCTGATAATGTTCAAGTCATCACACTAGAAGTCTTTGAACTGACTTTAATTAACAGACTTGCTTTTATCTTACCTTTTGTTTTGGGTTTTTATCCTCTCTGGTTTCATTTTAACCTATAATTCCCTGTTCTTGCTGTCATTTTTGTTCCTTCATAAAACACCTTTATAACACACTAAAGAACAGAAATTGTAAAAAAAATAATTACTACTGTTGCCCCATAACTTATACACTTGTGATAGAAACAAGAAGAGGAAATAGCAAAATAAATCTGGCTAGATGGGTAGAGACAGAAATTTTAGAATAGCGAAGGAGCACAGGAAATGTAGTCAGTGGAGGGAGGAGAAAAGAAAGAGAGTGAAGGAGTGAGAGATTTGACCTTGATGTCTCACCACAGCATCCAGCTGGGGGTGGAGACATGAGGGTAAAGAAGTAAGGGGGGGAGTAAAGCGCCTGGGTGATCAAATTGCTGAGAGAGCAATAGTGGCAGTGATGGTGACAGACAAACAGGAGATGAAGAGGCAGGAGGAGGCTGGTTGATGAGGTGGAATGGGGTGATGAATGAACAGAGAGAAACAGCAACTTCCTGGACACTGTTCGACCCATGCATTAACTCACACACACAGTTCACAGTATTTCAGCTATTAGTGATACTCACATACATGTTTAAACATATTTCATGTTGCATACACAACATACTAAACTCTTAATTGAACAGGAAAGGATTTACTGTAAAATTGGCCCTATAAGTGATACATTTTATACATGCCTGGAAAGGTCTTCCACTTGAGTATATTTATGCAATCACTTATTTCCCATTACATATTATTATTTAATTGACATTGCTTTTTAGAAACCTGTTTTCACTTTGACATTAAAGAATTTATTTTGTAACTACTTTTGTCAAAAAAGCAAAATTATATTGACCATGATTGATTTATAAAATCAATAGAAGGGTAAAACATCCAAGTGGCTGAATACTTTTTATAGGCAGTGTATGAGCTTATCTCTGCAATTATTAATAATAACTGGACATCCTACAGAGATAAAGTGGTCTCTACGCATTTCAGAAGCAAGATGGTACAGATCAGACCTGTCAGACCGGGAAGGCAAAACAAATAACTGGATGGTTGCTTGGCCAAGTTTACCAGACTACTCTTGTCCTGGTTACATGAAGGAAACAAGCCCAGATTGAATATCTCGATCCTTCACTTAGGATGAGGAGAGTGTGATCTTAAACTTGCTCAAACCACCTCGTTGTAACTACAACTGCAGGACCTAAGGCAAATATGACATAGGTTTTTGACTCATGAGATTAGAGGTAGTGAGATAGAACTCCCATTCTATATTTGTTACGTTGGATTTTAGTCAATTAAGCATTTTAAAAGGTTGCTACAAACAAAAGCCACATACGGCATTCCCCACGGGTGTTTAACGGGGAACTGTGGCTATAAACTCTTTGAAGCGATGTCATCTGAGTCGGCTTCAGCTGGGGCTGTAAAGTTGAAAAGTAAAAGTCTCAGGGTGCAGAAGAGAACTTACCAGAATTCTGTAGGCCACTCCACACTTCTAACAAATCAGGGCTACAACTGCTACTAACATTACACATCCAAATCTTGAAAGAACTGCAAGTGGTCAAGTTGTATTGAGCGAAATGTAGGTGCCAGGTTTTGACAAAGAATAAGAACGTGTGGGGGGAAAAAAAACAGATGTTTCTGGTTTTACTGCAGCAATTCTGAAACTTTAAAACCCACTGTCCACTGTGAGGCCAACAGCAATATGGAAGTGCAATGCTAAATCTGTGTAGTACTCAACAAAATATCTTCAGCATCAAATGTATGTAATATCTAAACCATACTGTATAGAGCTGTTTCTGACACAAACAAATATGATCCGAAAACTCCAAAGTTTTTTTGCCTTAAGAAAGACAAATATCCAAAAAAAGTTTAAAAAGATAACTCATTCACAATCAGGACCTGGCTGATTATGCTCATTCACTGGTTGTTTTGCTGCTGATTTTCTACCTGTCATCCTGGACTTTCTGCAGATTGTAGCGGATATGGAAGTCTCTGAGCTCCTCTATCAGTCCTGATGACAACATCTCATCTACACGAACATCCAACCGCTTGTCTAGAGCTGGAGAGGAACACATAGGAAGAAATATAACAAGTGTATTAAAAAAATATGACAAATGCAGCTTAAAGTTTATTTCATGCTACACTGAAGCTCCCATATGATTAGTGGCATTTTTGTTGTTTGCATACACAGAAAGCCAAGTAATCCTTCCTCTTTACCCTCCATATCAGCTTGCAGCCAGAATATGCAGGAATCTGGGTATCTCAGTGGCCCCCCCAACCCATCGCCTCCTTCCTGTCCCTTCTGCGCCTCCAGCCAGTGACTATGGGGAACACCTGTCTCCTCATGGATTTGCAGGCTCCTATAGATAAGCACACAAGTAAAGAAGTAAACGTTACATAAAACTCTCAGTTGTATTTTGCACTGCAAACAAACAAATCATTTTAAGAGGGTTTTTAGGCTGATATAAATTCCTATAAACTCCAGCACACTATGAATTTATATCCAGGTTCCTACAGTATATGTCATGCCTCAGTGGGTAAACTGAGAATAGATGAGATTGTCATTCACTCATCCATTACATTCAGTGTAAATGAAAACCTCCGACTCCCCTTCTGAGGCAAAAATTAAGTCTAGTTTGAAATTAGCACAAATGCCAAAGAAAAGAGGAACATGCCACCAGAAACCAGTTATACAAAAAGAAATGTAATAACTACTGAAGGGAATGACATTGTCCTTCTCCCCAGCACACATTTAATATACCTTTAATTCACAGCTAAACTAGCTTTTGAGATGTTGAGAGGTTCTTTAGTCATGCCTGACATTTGACATTTTTGCAGATTTATTAAAAAAGAAAAACTGAAATATCACATGGTCATAAGTATTCAGACCCCTTGCTCAGTATTTAGTAGAAGCACCCTTTTGAGCTAATACAGCCATGAGTCTTTTTGGGAATGATGCAACAAGTTTTTCACACCTGCATTTTGGGATCCTCTGCCATTCCTCCTTGCAGATCCTCTCCAGTTCTGTCAGGTTGGATGGTAAACGTTGGTGGACAGCCATTTTCAGGTCTCTCCAGAGATGCTCAATTGGGTTTAAGTCAGGGCTCTGGCTGGGCCATTCAAGAACAGTCACGGAGTTGTTGTAAAGCCACTCCTTCGTTATTTTAGCTGTGTGCTTAGGGTCATTGTCTTGTTGGAAGGTTAACCTTCGGCCCAGTCTGAGGTCCTGAGCACTCTGGAGAAGGTTTTCATCCAGGATATCCCTGTACGTGGCCGCATTCATCCTTCCCTCGATTGCAACCAGTCGTCCTGTCCCTGCAGCTGAAAAACACCCCCATAGCAGTATGCTGCCACCACCATGCTTCACTGTTGGGACCGTATTGGACAGGTGATGAGCAGTGCCTGGTTTTCTCCACACATACAAGCGGTATGTGTGGCCAAAAAGTTTAATTAAGGCCAAAAAGTTCTATCTTGGTCTCATCAGACCAGAGAATCTTATTTCTCACCATCTTGGAGTCCTTCAGGTGTTTTTTAGCAAACTCCATGCAGACTTTCATGTGTCTTGCACTGAGGAGAGGCTCCCGTCGGGCCACTCTGCCATAAAGCCCCGACTGGTGGAGGGCTGCAGTGATGGTTGACTTTCTACAACTTGCTCCCATCTCCCAACTGCATCTCTGGAGCTCAGCCACAGTCATCTTTGGGTTCTTCTGTACCTCTCTCACCAAGGCTCTTCCCCCCCAATAGCTCAGTTTGGCCGGACGGCCAGCTCTAGGAAGGGTGCTGGTCATCCCAAACGTCTTCCATTTAAGGATTATGGAGGCCACTGTGCTCTTAGGAACCTTAAGTGCAGCAGAAAGTTTTT